CCCCCCCGGCCGCGCCGCCCCACTTATAGCCCCGCGCCCCGCGGCCCGGTGCAGACTGCTCAGGCAGCCGGAGGAGAGGCATCTCGGGGGTGGCGCTGCGGAGACCGAGTCCAGACACCAGGCGGCCGCCGGCGCGGACGGCGCTTTCTAGCTCCCTCCGCCGACTCACACAGCCCGCCTTCCTCCGCGGCGCCGGCAGCCGCAGGCTCGCTCTCCCCTCCCCGAGATTCACTCCAGGAGACACTCCGCGGGTCGCGGGCAGCGTCCGCGGCGTGCGGATCGTGAGGCCGAGGCCGGCCGCCAGCGGTGGCCAGCCCGCGAGCCAGCGTCCCGGGCACGGTCCTCTCCTCGGCAGGCGCCCCATGCGCGCTCCTTTCGCCCGGGCAGTCGCCGCTGCTCCCCGGGGCTGAGACGTCTGCTTCTTCGCCTCCCCTCCCGGTGACCGAGGCGAGAACCCAGCTGGTTATACGCTGTGGCCAGTCGCCACTGCTGTAAGTTTACCCCATCGCCCCGGACCTGTTGCGAGCGCCGCGGAGCTCAGGGGCTATTTGGCCCGCGGGGGTGTGTTCGCGAGCGCTGTGCTTGCGCCCGGGAGCCTGGGGTGGGGAGCTGTTCTTGGGGCGGAGACCTCCGTGTTTGCCGCTAAGCTTCCACCGTCAGCCGGAGCCGGGCACCGCCGGAGGGGCCTCCTCTCGGCGGGGCGAGCTGCTGGGGGATCGAGGGGCCAGGGTACGGTTGATCTCCGCCGCCGCCGCGGAACGCAGCGCTTCCCCAGGGGTGGGTGTCCCGCTGCCTCTCGCTTCGCAGCCTCCGGGACCCAGCCAGCGTGACGGTTGGGCCTTCCCCGCACAGGGGAGCATTGGGGCCACGCGCAGACACTCCTCGTGAGGGCACGTTCACTGCTGCGAAATGTCTGTAGGGAATGAATGAATGAAAACTGACTTTTGAAAAATAAGTTTATTGCCATGCAAGTAGAGTGGCCTTTAGTGTAACATTATTAGTTTCGAAGGGCAGGAATTGGTGGGCGGGGTGGAGATGAACCATTGAACTTGTTCGGCATGTAATTTGGTGTCGCCCTGAAAGGCATGGCCAGCGTGTTAAAGAGCGTTGCGAGTGTTACAGAGGACTGCATGGTAAAATGCTTTTCTTGTTAACAAGGTCTTAATGATGTTTCATTGTTACCAATAGTGCAAATGCCCCAGAAATTCTCCCTAGTTTTTCCGTTGATTGCTTTGGGATCAGGTTCAAAACCTAGAGATGTGACTGGACGCGCAGAATTGGAGGCAGAGAGCCTAGGTAAGGAGCGTTATGTAAACCGAAGTTACTGTAACTAGAAGCCCTTTTGATGTTTGCGGTAATAGCAACCCTTTTCTCATCTTTGTAGATGCAGGTTAAGCATATGTGTACATTTTTTGGACACACTTGGCATGCAAATATTATTTCTCTGGGGGCTTAAAAAATGTCAAAATGATTCATTTTATGTTGAAGGTGTGCCTAGTGACTGTATAAGTGGTTTCTGCTGGTATTGTGATGTTTGCATAATTTTAAACCAGAAAGCAACTTGTTTCCCTTGGGTCTTCAAGTTTACCTTTTATTTTAATCAAATACTGCTGCAAGAATGTTGGATTGTGATTGTGACATGCTCCTCCATCTGGATGGTATCCAAGATGACAGGCTAGGTTATTGCTCTGGCTTTATGAGCCAACCTGGAAAATACAGGAGCATCAACACAGGATGCGTAGGGGTCCAGATCCTAGATCCTAAGTTCTTTTTAAGTTTTCTTACACGTGGGCCTGGTTGTGAGTGGCGTTTGGCACTGCCTGGCATCTAATGCTCAGGAAACATGTTCTGGGCCTCTGGGATTCCTGCTCAGTTTGCTTCTGCACCTTGTGCAAGGACTCTCATTTCTTCAGTTGGAGCTGCATTTGCTCTTAGCCTGAAGAGGCAGCTTTTGAGATTGCTTTGGAAACATTAGCTTAAAAAAATGTGTAGCTATTCAACTGGAAATTTTGTAAGTTTCTGTCTTAGGCATATGAGTATTTATACCATCTTTTGCGGTTTAAACTTAAAATCCTGCTCAAAGCACTTCAGATGGAATGTACAAATTCAAATGACAACTACAGTGGTAGAGCATCAGTGATGCTAATACATGTTTTCATACTTTGGAAATCTGGTGAATGCACATAGGGTCATATCCATTGTTCTCCTGACTGGTAAAATGGACTAGACAGACTGTTGAGGCTTAGCTTGAGGGGGTCGTGGTGGGGGGGGGTGGCGGGGGGAAGCTTGGCTTCTCACCATTTGTCATATCTAGTAGACTAATGGGTGCTTTGTAAAGTCTTGGTAACACCAGAACTTAGGACTTGGTTGCTTATTTTCTTCCACTAAGCCATGTTTAACTCATAAGGAAAAGTTACATTCCAAACATAAAGGAAAAACAAGTTGCATCACCTAATGGTATGTGGTCTGTGTGTTAAAGGCAAGTTAGGTACCTGCTTTTGTTGTTTTCAGTGTATACTACAGTGGGTCAGGGAAGTGCAATTTAGTATCTAGCCCCATGAATCTGATAAGTTACTAATTTGCAGTTATTAATAATACCTGGGATATAAATTAAAAGTAAATATCTGAATGGTTGAAGGAAACGAGCAGGCCATGGGTTTCAGCTGTGCTGCAAGGACTGGCTGTTCTGTGTTTAGAATAGATACAGTAACCACACAGTTCACTGTCCTGGGGTAAACAGCTCCCTTAGCAATCCTTTGACAGGCAGGCTCTTGAAGGCTTCATTCCTTTGAAGTATCAGGGGTGAGGTTAAAAGGGGGGGGGGGAATCATGGGATTCACTTTTTGAAGGTAGAGGGATTTCCTATATCTTTAGCCTACAATTTACTTACTGAGGAAAGCCAATGATAGCATTAGATTCTGCTATCATTTCAATTTACATACTGAGGAAAGCACTTTAGTTAGCAAATAAATTCTAGGGTGGCCCTAAATGAACAATGGCTGGTAAAATACACACTTGACTGCATATATACATACACACACACGTGTGTGTGTGTGTGTGTGTGTGTGAGAGAGAGAGAGAGAGAGAGAGAGAGAGAGAGAGAGAGATTTAGATAAGGCAGTTTGCATTTTGAACTCCCTATATGCAGGTACCAGCATTAGCAGGTACACAAGAATGGTCCTGGTGATGCACTGTTTAATCAAAAGAGAGGGACAGATAGATCCTTTGTTCTTGCAACTGGTTTTCCAAGAATTGATGTAAAGCAGGAAGAACAGAAAAATAGCACTCAAGAATATGCTACTCAAAATATTCTTCCTTTTATGTGCCCACATCCTCATTTTGGAAGCTGTCGAGAGCAAGGAAGATGCGTGGTGATTGTGGTCAGAATCTATTCCATGTTTTCAGGAAAGCCTCCTGACCAGTAGTATATGATGTTCCTATTGGGCCTCTTTTAAGGATGCTGGACTGGCAGAGCTGCCTGGTTAGAAATGATTTGTGACATTTAAATAAGAGTCCGATCATTGTAGAAGTTGCCTAAGCCTGTGATTTTAATGTTGCATTTCCCATTTACTGTATATTGGCAGAGAGACCAGATCTTACCAAAGGAATTCTTAATGGAATTAATTAGTAGGTATTTGTTTTACACATGGCTTTATGTTGCATAGGGCATGAAAGCTGGTGCCTCTCCTGGCATTACGAGAGCTGGAGGCCTGGCGTTTTAAGTGGCCCACAGTGAATCAGCTGGACAAAGGAGCTGTGAGAAGGAGACTTTCCTCCTCTTGGCTTGTGCTGACTTACATTGTCGAGGACTTCAATATCCTAAAAGTTGGCAATCAGGTTTTCCAAGATGAACCTGCTTTCAGGCAGTGATTTTTTTTTTAACAGTGTAGAGTTCAAATAGCTCAACAGTATTACCGTGAATGCTTCTCCTTATAGGTCATTGTTTCTGACTTGATACAGGAATGGCAGTCCATTATTCAGAAGAGTAGGCAGCAGAACTGACAGCAAAAGTTCTGTTTTCTCTGTTCGGAAGGATTGTGACTTTGTTCTGCTGCTCGACACATCAGGAGCACCCTACCCTGTTCAATGGTTTTGTCTTGTTTTGTTTCAGGAATAGAAACAAAATGTCAGTCAGTGTGCACGAGAACCGGAAGTCCAGGGCCAGCAGCGGCTCCATTAACATCTACCTGTTTCACAAGTCTTCCTACGCTGACAGCGTCCTCACTCATTTAAACCTTCTACGCCAGCAGCGCCTCTTCACCGATGTCCTTCTCCATGCCGGAAACAGGACCTTCCCTTGTCACCGGGCAGTGTTGGCTGCATGCAGCCGCTACTTTGAAGCCATGTTCAGTGGTGGCCTGAAAGAGAGCCAGGACAGCGAAGTCAACTTCGACAACTCCATCCACCCGGAAGTCTTGGAGCTGCTGCTTGACTATGCGTACTCCTCCCGGGTCATCATCAATGAAGAAAACGCAGAATCGCTCCTGGAAGCTGGCGACATGCTGGAGTTTCAAGACATCCGGGATGCATGTGCAGAGTTCCTGGAAAAGAACCTGCATCCCACTAACTGCCTGGGCATGCTGCTGCTGTCTGATGCCCACCAGTGCACCAAGCTGTATGAACTCTCCTGGAGAATGTGTCTCAGCAATTTCCAAACCATCAGGAAGAACGAAGATTTCCTCCAGCTGCCCCAGGACATGGTAGTGCAGCTCTTGTCCAGTGAAGAGCTGGAGACAGAAGATGAAAGACTCGTGTACGAGTCTGCAATTAACTGGATCAGCTATGACCTGAAGAAGCGCTACTGCTACCTCCCAGAACTATTGCAGACAGTGAGGCTGGCTCTCCTGCCTGCCATCTATCTCATGGAGAACGTGGCCATGGAGGAACTCATTACCAAGCAGAGAAAGAGCAAGGAGATTGTGGAAGAGGCCATCAGGTGCAAACTGAAAATCCTGCAGAATGATGGTGTGGTAACCAGCCTCTGTGCCCGGCCTCGGAAAACTGGCCACGCCCTCTTCCTCTTGGGAGGGCAGACTTTCATGTGTGACAAGCTGTATCTGGTAGACCAGAAAGCCAAAGAAATCATTCCCAAGGCTGACATCCCCAGCCCAAGAAAAGAGTTCAGTGCATGTGCCATTGGCTGCAAAGTGTACATTACTGGGGGGCGGGGGTCTGAAAATGGGGTCTCAAAAGATGTCTGGGTTTATGATACCCTGCATGAGGAGTGGTCCAAAGCCGCCCCCATGCTGGTGGCCCGGTTTGGCCATGGCTCTGCTGAACTGAAGCATTGCCTTTATGTGGTAGGGGGGCACACAGCTGCAACTGGCTGCCTCCCAGCCTCCCCCTCAGTCTCTCTGAAGCAAGTAGAACATTATGACCCCACAACCAACAAATGGACCATGGTGGCCCCACTCCGAGAAGGTGTTAGCAATGCCGCAGTAGTGAGTGCCAAACTCAAGCTGTTTGCTTTCGGAGGTACCAGCGTCAGTCATGACAAGCTCCCCAAGGTTCAGTGTTATGATCAGTGTGAGAACAGGTGGACAGTACCGGCCACCTGTCCCCAGCCCTGGCGTTACACAGCAGCAGCTGTGCTGGGTAACCAGATTTTTATTATGGGGGGAGATACAGAGTTCTCTGCCTGCTCTGCTTATAAATTCAACAGTGAGACTTACCAGTGGACCAAGGTGGGAGATGTGACAGCAAAGCGCATGAGCTGTCACGCTGTGGCCTCCGGAAACAAACTCTACGTGGTTGGAGGATACTTTGGCATTCAGCGATGCAAAACTTTGGATTGCTACGATCCAACGTTAGATGTATGGAACAGCATAACCACAGTCCCATACTCGCTGATTCCTACTGCATTCGTCAGCACCTGGAAACATCTGCCTTCTTAAACTCAGTATATCCTAAAGAAAGTGAGCATGAGGTAAGGAGTCGGTTTAGCTGTAAGTATGCATGTAATTAAGCTAGCTGTGCAAGTTCGGATGTGGAGTGAGATGTCCATATAGCCTATCCTATAGAAGCACTACAAAATTATAAAAATAACTTGCACCACAGAACTTAAACACTTGTGTTGACCACAGCTGTACCCGCTACCTCTCTCCCACACACTATAACATGTGTAAGCCAGCGATTCTCAGCCTTTACTGGGCCTCAGAATCTCCCAAAGAGCTTTGTAAAAACTACCCATCCCAGAGACTAGGTTTCATTTGGTCCGGGTGGGGCCAGGCATCAGTATTTTTAGAATCTTTTCAAGTGATTCTAATGCTCAGCCAGGTTGAGAGTCCTTGACCTATGTTAATAATGCCATCTAGTGTTTAGTGAGCCCTCACTGTGTGTCTGGACCTGAGCTCCATGTTTCACATAGATCATTTCATTTAATCCTCACGTTAACCTTGTGAGATATTACTAGAACACTTTATAGATGGAAACATGTCATGCACACAGAGGTTAAGTAAGTTGCCCAAGGCGATGGAGCTTAGTAGGCAGAAGACTTGGCCAAGAAATCGACACAGGCAGTGTGCCTCCTGAGCGGAAGCACTTGAACCCCATGCAGAATTGCCATTTAATAACCTTGAGCTTCATATTGGTGTCACCCCAGGAGAGAGATGTTAATATTCAAATTTAGCTTCCTCAAACCCTTTCTGAATGAAGTAGGGCTTAAACATTCGAATGCTTAAATTTTTTTTTCCTAGTTTATTCTCTCCAAAATTATGTAATAGCTTATTTAAAAAATGTTTTTTCCTCCAAAACATTGCCCCTTTTAGAGCATTTATTAACTTTAGAGGGAAATTTAGGCCTGTCCTTGTGAAAGATTGCACTTGGATTGTATAGATTTGCCTGATGTGTGGATACACTGAGCCATCTAAACAGCCCTTACTGCAGCCTTTCAGAGTTAATCAGACAGGCTGACCCTATTGTCAGGGCCAACAAAAGTTGTGTTTCTGTGTCATATATCTGAGTACATAATGGTTGTCTTGTGTACTTAAGAGTGTATAATACTCTTGGCTCAAATAATTAATAGGTCTACACAGTTCAGTGTTCGCGAAGCTAATAGCTGCTTTGCCGCTGTTAAGCATTCTTAGGATTGGCCCCAGGAATCACTTAAGCATGTCGAAATGCAGCACCGAGCATAGAGTGTGTTGATCTGTTTTGGTGATTCATGGGCTTATTACATTACTAATAATAGAATAAAATTTAAAACTCTGCTTTAGAGGAACCACAGTGAAAACTAACTCATTGCTTAGAAACTTTTGGCTCTCTTTTTCCCTAGTATGTTTTACTCCTTTTGAAGGGAACTTGCAAGGGGAAAAAAGGATATTTGGGGTTATTGCAGGCTAAGCGAAGAGGGGTTTTTGACTCATTGGTCTTTTCTTTCCTCATCTCTTACAGCTCATTTGAAAACACCATGAAAATTGCCCTCCCTTTCACACTTAATCTTTCTATTTATTTCATTTCTGCAGTTCTGCAGTTACCTCTTCCAGCCTATTCCAGTTATTAGAGTTCTTAGTAACGTTTCCTCGGAATGAAACTCCTTCAAAGGCACAGGAACAGTCAGAGAAGCCTCTGGGGAGCGACTGGGCTAAGAGCGACCCACACCAAACTGGTTTTTGCAGCCTTGCTGGCATCTCAGCAATCCTGAATAAACAAATGCTCTGAGAGTGGTTATTTCATTTGTGATATGGATGCATGACTCACCTCTAAAGCAGGTTTAAAGAACCTCCTAGAGTAAAGCATCAATTATAGCACACTAAATTGGGTGTTAATCTAGAACTGGCTATTTGCATAGGAGAGCTATAAAAGTTGCCAGGGTTGGTGGCGGTACATCAAAATAGTAACTGGTACACCGGATGGCATTCTTCGAGCAAGGTGAAGAAGTTGAAGCAGAAAGACAGATCGCATGTGCGTTCTAGTTCCGGTTCTAAGCTGTGGAGCCTGGACCTTTCTGGACTTTGCTCCTTTGTTAAATGAGTGATTTGCATTATGCTTTCCCTAAGATCTGTCCCAGTTGAGACTTAGGTGAATGATAAATGAGGGGTGAAAAAGAAAGCAAGGAAAATATGCACCCCAGTGCCTGGCAAGATGCATATATGTGTGTGTGTGTGTGTGTGTGTGTGTGTGTGTATATATATATAATTATATATATTATATATATATTATATATATATATTTTTTTTTCAGTGTTCAATACTCTTAGGTTTCTTTCCTCCCTCCAATTTAGACCTGAGCTTGCACTGGAATTAGCTTTGTGTGTGGTGGGGAAAGGAGGTTTCTTTGACTGTTATCTGCCTTGTTATCTTTATACTTCATTTTTGTTGCCTCCTTTCTCAGCCCAGAGTATGTTGGCAAACACTTGAATTCACCTTCATCTGGGTATTTGAACCTCATCACACACTTCCGGTCCCATGGAAGGGGAGTAAATACAGTGTTAGATAATATGTGAAATAACATCCTCTCCACCCTTGGCGTGACCAGCTAGAAAGTCAAGCACATCACAGTGAAATTTGACAGGGCCAGGTTTGCCTTTTTAAAGGCGTGGGTCTGATCAAAGCCATGCTTGCAGTTTCCCACAGGGATAACGTTGGTTTAAATTGCTCTAGTTTACTTCACACAAGATAGCGTTAAAACACTTAAGCTGGATTGAGTGACTTAAAATAGGTGCTGTGTAGGTATCAATCCTAAACTGCAAAAACTTCTGGGGCATCTTTTTGCTCTCCAAATGTAGGCACTAACTGAATCAATACAGTGTTAACAAAAAGTTTCCCCTGGTCTAAAAAGTTCATCCACCTAGGAGATTTTAACTGTGTCCTGCTGTTCTGCCAGCGGGTAGGAGGGAGAAAAAGGAAATTACTTTTGATTAGTCTCTGTTTTCAGGAGACAGTATGGCCCCAACCTGACAGCATTTAGATTATGATTTGCTTTTAGAGGGTTAGAGCTTCCCTTTTTAGAGATTTTCTTTTCTTTTGGTGGTGGTTTTTTTTTCCCCCCCAGTATGCAACAGCTTGAAATTTTATATTATTACAAGATACATTCTTTTGGCCTAATGATGATATATGGGTTACAAGGAGGTGGGGGTAGAGGCATAGAGGGGTGACACCGTAGTCTAAGGAATGCCTTGAAAGCTTGAATCACTGTTAGGAAACTGCCAAAAGAAACAACTAATGAAATGAATCAGATCTCTAAACACACAAAAGCGAGAAGAATTCAGTGCAAGTCATGAGTGGCCCCTTCCTGAATTCCCTTTGTCCATACTTAGAGCTATAGCAATAGGGATGCAGATTCCTACTAGGGCCGGAAATGTGCTCCTTGAACAGATAAGGTGTGTGTTTGAAAGACAAAAGCCCTCTGTAAAATTTCCCTGTATAAAAGTAGACATAGTCCCATGAAAAGTTCATGTTTTGTGGGTTTGGCACCTTGAATTTATATTCACACCTGACACGGGTAGATTCTGTAGATAATTACACTGCATACCATAGTTGGTGTTTCCCAAGTGTGGACTGATGGACTTCAAGAATCAACTCCAGCCTTGGGCTGTTGAGGCCTGGTATGTTGTCATGTGAAAGAAAGCGAGACTGATTTCTGCCATAATGAATAGTGGAGACGCACTTAAATAAGAGGATTCATATGTCCGCCATCTATATGGTGAATAAATTGAACTTGGAATGCTTTAGGGTAAATAGGCCAAGGAGGGTTTGCACAGGAATCGTTTCTTGACCCTCTGATGATCGCTTCACAGAGGCTCTGTTTAACCACAGAGAGGAATTAATGAATGTGGGAAGCATAAGATGGCAACTAATGACAGCATCTAGCTGTATAGGTTGGAATTTGAACATATATATGTTTAGGGAAAGAAGATCCTTCTTCGGATGCCATTGTGTCCATTGGGCCCGCCATCTGCACACATGCATGCACGTGTGTGTGTGTGTGTGCATGCGTTAAGGCAAACACTTCACATATCTTTGCACAGTTCCTGCTGAACATGTAATTGATACCTTTAGAAACAATCTTGACCAGCTCTGTCCTGAGGGTTTTTTTTTAGATTTTGGGGCTACTATCAAAAACCTTTTTCTTCTGTTTTAGCTCGCTCCATTCAGTGACACAAGATGCGATTTCTACTTTGGAGAGGCCAAATTGAAGAGAAAGAAAAGAGAAAAAGGAAAAGAAGTTGCTGTGAGACTCGGATTGTAAGATCAGCTGCACCTTGTACATGCTCTAACTGGACATGAAGGAAAGGGTGGGGGAGGGGTGGGATTTTCAGTGCAAGTAGCACATGGTTTAAATATGAATGAGTGAGCCTGTGATCTAGTCCTTGTCTTGTAATTGTGGATTAATGTCAACGTTAATCAGCCCCTCAAAGGGAGAGAAAAGCTGGGTCTTTTTCCCTTGCTGTACCATATTCAGCATTTGATTTCCATGGGCTCCACCATTTATGTGTAAAATTTGAAATGGTTGTCACCTCTCTCTGAGGAGCAAGCTTGAAGCCTCCACACCAGCTGCTTTTGGAGAGTGAAAGCCCTACTGTGGGGCTAGGAGGGACGCTGGCGGTGCTGGCTGCAGAGCGAGGACCACTGGACTCTCTGCTAATCTCTGTGGGGTTGTGCTCCCCAGGAAGATTTCTGAACAATGGGGACATTGTTGGTAGCCATTTGGTAGATGTGCTTTTCTATTTATAAGTGACTTTAAACTTTCCCTTGGCTGTTAAGAAGTTTGTTATAGATTTAGCTATTTATTGTTTGGTGCCTGCATGCTGAAACAATGCTTACAGTTGTCTTCACGTGTATGGACATGTGTGAATGGTTGTATGTTTTGCACAATTTTGTGGCTGTTGTGATGTGCTTTGCTGCACAAAAATGAAAACTTTGGAGTTACAATTTGGAATACAACTGGAGGGTGGGTTGGGAAGGGGAGGGATTTTGTAAATGTCAAGACAGGGAAAGGTTACAAAACAAATTTAAATTAACATCCTAGAGGTAGAGAAAGCATGGAGATCACTTTTCTCAGACTCACCAACTTTAAATCGGGTTTCATGGGCTCCGACCATGCTGATGGCTCATGGGGTGAGGGAAGGCTTCTTTCTGCCCCTCTCCTCCCATCTTACTCACCTCCTTCAGTCTCAGCTACTGAAATTTACAAAGGACCAAATCGCTTTGCTGGTGTTTTTTTTTTTTTTCTTTGTGTAATATCCTGAAATTCTGGAAAATTCTATGGAATAATTCTGTATATAGAGCACAGGTGAAAGCATAGTCCAAAGTTTATTTATTTATCTATTTATTACCCTGTGAATGCTTTGCCATAACCACATTTAACAGGAAAAAAAAACACAAAAAACTGAATTATCACAGATATAAATGAAGTCGCTTGCCGGATTTGCTTGACCCGGATTCATTGTTCTCTATTCTTGATGTACAATTTAGCAAGCATGACAAGTTCTCCAAGACAATAATAGTGTTGGTACAATGTATACTTTAGTGCTCATCCACAGGTAAGTGTCTAAAAGAACTCTTTGGTGCACAGGTGACACATTTGGCCACAAAACACCAAAGACTTGCAAGCAGTAGCCCCTGTTGAAGTTTTTCGGGATAGTTGGGAATCGGTTGTGAATACATTCCTTGCTAGTTGGCGTGCTTGTTTACTAAACACGTGCTGTGGTAAGTGTTAGTACTAGATTCCCATAGGTGCTTCCTCAGAGGTGTCCGGGGAAGAACCTAGTTTGCAACTCTCTCACTGCTTTCATTGATGTATCTCACGTTACTGTACTTTAGAAAATAGGGTTTAAGACTGATATCAACCTTTTACATTGTGAGTGTGCTTGCATTGTCTAATGACAGATCATTCCTTAACATTTTTCTCCACCTGAAAACTTTAGGCGAATTTTACTTGTCTGTCCGTGCCATGAATAAGTGGGCTATAGTTGGACCCAAATAAATGAGCCGTTGGAATAAAAGAATCACAGTACTTTCCAGCAGTCAGCCTTTCACTCCTAGATGTGTCTTAAGCAATGCAAATGTCTCATTGTACTCTGGCAGCATAGTCGGGTGTCGTTATATTGTAGCAGTTACAGCTCTGTAGTTTATGATGCAAATCGGCGGAGATGTGTGTATGTCACTGCATGGCTTTTGAAAGCAGGATGAATTTTCTGCAGCTGTTTCGAAGTTGTGGTCTGTCCTTGAATCCTCTATTAATTACCGTGTGTGAGCTAGAGGGAGCCATGGTCAGGGTGGGCCCCCAGCCTGCAGGGAACTTTCTGGACTCCCCCTTCTTTGAATTGATGTAGGCGTTTGCGCTCACTACTTGACCATTCTCACCCTGTGAAATGTCTCACACTTTGAAGCAAATACAATTCACAGCACAGTGCACACAAAAACCTTGGCATAAGACAGAGAAGGTTCTTCTTATTCTGTGGGCTGGTTGCTGTGGAAACGGATAACAAAGGGCAGCCTTCCACTTCTGGTATAATTGTGTAGCCCCCTTTTCTCTGGGCTTGACACCTGTCTGAATAAGAGTGATTAGAGCTGAATAATATCCCTCTCTTAGCTATTGAATATGTGGTTCACGTACAGAACTCTGTGTAAGTTGAAGAAGTAAAGTGTTCATGTTCATATGTACTTGTTTCCTACTACATTTTTGAGGTTTTGTAAAACTTATTTTTTTTTTCACAATGTGAAACTGAAGGTCAAATAAATTATTAGAGATTTTCTCTTCAATGAGTGTGTGGGTCTTTCTTTGAAGACAACATAATTTTAGCCCTTGAAAACGTGTGCCTTTTCTACTTTTTTAATCAAGAGGAGCATCATTTCAAATATTTTCTGAATGTCTTTTATTTTACCACTGAGTCACATATCTTTAGTAAAGCAATTTTGCACATTAAATAATTAAAATTCTTTCACCTTTTAGGATATTTCAGCAAAGCAAAATACCAAAATTACGGGTTATTCATAACTTAGAATATGTAAAGTCACATACCATGTGATATTAAGACAGCATACTTTGTGTTAGAATTTAGTTTTGTATTCCTCATGTGGGTTATATTTCGATAGTAAAGCTGTGAGAGGAGGGACTGAGTTCAATCCTCTTTTCATCTGACATTGCCTTCGAAATCATTTAAAGAAAGTGGAAATATGTGTATATTATTTCCATGTAACAGTGCAGAAAACCACAAATTTAACCCCTCTGGTAACACTTCTTCCAAGTTGAAAGCTACTGTCCCAGCTGGCTCAGCTTCGCACCAGATGAAGCCTTTAGTCCCCACCTCACGATCGCTTAGCGTCACGATGAGAAACTCCTTTATCATGAGGGTTGGACCCTTTGCTGTTTTAGCGTGCAGGGTAATGTTGGGCATAATCTTTTTTGGATAGAAAATAAATACTACCTAATTAGCAGTCTGGGAGAGCTCACAAGTAGGCAGAGTGCAATTATAACCTTGGACTTTGCCCAAGAAGCCAGCGCAGATGCCTCAGGTTTTACAGAAGGTTCACTCAGTTACGGGCTGGGTGAGGCTGGTGAGCCTTGGGAACAAGTGTCTGAGTTGTCGGATCTCAAGCCCACAAAACTCGGCTGACAACACCATATATGACACATGTGACAGGGAAGAAGGGAGAATTAGCAGTTGGGAATCTGACACGTGGGACTTGGATGTTCAGGAAAAGCTTTTGATATTATTCCTCAGAATGGTTGAGAAGGATTCGTCGAGAGATGATTGGGAACCCATCTTTCATTCTCCAGAGTTCTTTTTCATCATCTTGGTTGGGTCATGTAGATAGATTGAAATAAAGAAGATACTGCAAATTCTTGTTTTCCATTCATTTGGAAATTTTATTGCAGACATTTCAGATCACCCAGACAGTGGCTGTATCAGTTTGGATTGCCTTGGGCTGCGTGCAATAGGAATCTGGCCATGGTGGCTTAATCACAATGCTGAAACCATTTGGAGGCTGGCAGTCCAGGGCTGGGACTGATCCCTGCATTGCCATCAAGGGCCTGTCTGGCTCCCCTTTCTGCTTTGCCATCCTGGATGTGGGCCTTCGGTCTTCACTTTGCAGGATGCAGCTGTACCTTGTGCCACTACTTGTGCTTTCCAGGCAGTAAAGATGGGGACAGACAAAAGGGAAAAGGCATGTGCCTTTCCTGGGATAGCAATAGTGTTCCCAAAAGGTCTGCCTAGAAGACTTACAGTTATCTCTTATTGGCCAGAAGTAGATCACATGACATTCTGAAGAAATAAGGGAGGCTGAGGAGAGGAGTACTTTTATCAGGACGTGGGGCCACCCGACACAAAGATGTGATTTTGTTAATAAGGATGAAAGGGAGAACTGACGTTTGTTGGGTTGGTTGGGCAATTGCTGCACAGGGTCTGTTACAATAGATAATCAAAGGGTTATTTAGTGCAACTGTAGCCCTGTTCATTGAGTGATTACAACATGCTAGGGACTGCACTAAGGACATGTTTTTCAATCATCTCATTTAACCCTCACAACAAACATAGGTAAGACTAGAGAGGTTTCCTAACATCTTTGAGCCTCTGCACCTTTACCTGTAAAATAAGGCTGATTAACATTCTCTAAGAGGGAGATTTCATAATACCATATATTTAAGAGGAAGCATCAAATGCAGTGCCTGGCGCATAGTAGGTTCTCAGTAATTTTCAGCTGTCATTTTTAAACACATCTGGGAGAAATACACCCCAATGAATCTAAACCTGAGTGCCTGTTCTGTACAAGAGATTGTGTTGAAGGTTTGCATGCCCATCACCTTATTTCATCCTCCCAGCAACCCTAGGAGAGCAGGCACAGCTATTACCCCCGTTTCGTAGATGAAGAAACAGATTTTGAGAGATGATCTAACTTGCCCAAGGGAGTGGTGGAACCCGGATTTCCAGACGTGCCCTCTGACCTGCTCCTCTTGGTCCAGGACTATGGAGGATGGTGATTCATGGGGCTGAGGCTGGCTGTGGGAAACCCTAGGCTGCCGGCCGGTCCATTGTTTCATGAGAAGGTCTGAGGAAGTGTGCAGCG